GATTCTTTACCACTGGACCACCAGGGAAGTCCGAAGTGTCCACTGAGTTTTGACAAATATATACACCCATGCATCTGCCACCATAATTAATATATGGTGTGTGTGTTTACAGTTTGTTTTGTTGTTTGGGTGTACAGTTCTGAGTTTTAACACCGTTGTAGATGTGTGTAACCATTACCACAATCAGGACACTGAGCAATTCCATCGCCCCCCCATTGCCCCCCAAAACTCCCGTGCTCGTCTTTGTAGTCACATCCTCCCCTCCACCAACTTAACCTTTGGCGACCACTGATCTGTGATCTGAACCTACAGTTTTGTCCAAGGCAAATTCTAATCATGATTACCTAGGTCGTAATTTTATTAAAAATAACCCCTTTCCCTTTAGGCACTGTACTGTATCCACTTTCCCAAGCAACACCCTCAGCACAAAGGAGAGAAGCAGGTAGCCAGGAGAAAACTTTGGGATGGGAAGGATGATTGAAGATCTTTATCAGGCCCACCGTGGTCCCCTGGCTGCCTCTGGACTAGCCTTTGCTTCCTTACCGAGGGAAGACAGTGACCCAGTTCACCTTGGCCAGAAAATCATGCAACAGGAGTGAGGGAATCAGCGGTTCTGACATCTTCAATGTGACTTCAAAGTCGAAAAAGAGCGGCGACCTGCCTTGGAAGCATGGTGAAGTTGTGATGACTTCACATCCCCAAATAGATTGCTGTTACAGTTATAGAAAAAGAAAGAACTAGATCAAATACCAGATACAGCATAGAATTTTTCTTACTGAGGTGAAATTCACATGCATAAAATTAGCCATTTTAAAGTGTACAATTCAGTGACATTTAGTACACCCACAGCACTGTGCAACCACCACCGCTATCAAGCTCCAAAGCATTTTCAGCACTCCAAGAGGAAACCTCGTACCCTTTAGCAGTCATTCCCCGCCACCACCATTCTCACTCCCCAGAACTAAGCAACCACCAATCTACTTTCTGCCTCTATGGGTTTACTTATTCTGGATATTTTCACATGCATGACCTTGTGTTTCTGGCTTCTCTCACTTAGCATGTTTTTGAGCATCATGTTGTAGTACATCGGCACTTCATTTCTTTTCATGGCTGAGTAATATTCTATTGCATGGCTATACCCCAGCTTGTTTATTCATCTGTTCATGGACCACAGCATAGAATTCCCCTTTTTTTTAGGCTTACACATCACTAAGACTATTTCTGCTTCTCAGAGCTCCACTCCAACATCATCCCTGCCAAGGTCATGTGATAAGTCTTCCCATACATACTCTTTTTTTTTTTTTTTTTTTTTGCGGTACGCGGGCCTCTCACTGTTGTGGCCTCTCCCGTTGCCGAGCACAGGCTCCGGACACGCAGGCTCAGCGGCCATGGCTCACGGGCCCAGCCGCTCCGCGGCATGTGGGGTCTTCCCAGACCAAGGCACGAACCCGTGTCCCCTGCATCGGCAGGCGGACTCTCAACCACTGCGCCACCAGGGAAGCCCCCCATACATATAACAATTTTGTAAAGAAAGGATCACCCTCCATTTTACAGATTCAGGATCTGAGGCACAGAAGGATGACATGGCTGGATGCAGGTGGAATTCCAAGCCTAGAGTCTATCTCTTCATCCCTGCTGGTGTCTCTGAGTACAGGTTACTGAAAACAAAGTCCAGGTGGAAAGCAAACTCCTTGCGAAGAATTTCAATGCAGTCCAAACAAACTCAGAAAATCCTTGAATTCTGTGTCCTTCCATGGGTGATGCTGAATACCCTCCATGTCTCTTTCCAGGCAGGCGCCCAGCGTGCCAGGCACACAGCTCTCATTGCTTCCCTTTCTGATACCCTCTCATTACTTTTAATTGCATCTGAGCCTCTCTAGCATCTTGTATTTTGATTCCTAATCCAGGGCATTTCTCTGCCTCCCACTGGTCCAGCACAGCACTTTCCTCTCTCAGAGCTCTCCAGAGAAGTGCCCCCAGAAAATGGAACTGGTCTTCTGTAATGAATTCATCTTTATAATGAATAGTATAATATCCAAGTCCCGGCATATTTACATAGCAATCTCCACACAAAAGCAACATTACAAAGGGAAGATTTTTAAAAGAATGCCATCTCAGCTCCATTTCCTTTAGTACTAAGAACACTATGGGAATTACCCTGACAAGAAAAGAAAAACGACTTCCAGGGATGCTGGGTTAGAGACAATAGCTACACCAGCTCCATTAATGTTTAAAGTCAATGGAGCATAAAACTGCTTTTCTCTACTTACAGGCAGGCATCATCTTACAGAGAGGAGAAAAAAAAATCCCATTTATTTAACTCTGCTGAAATCCATAAGCCCTCCCCTAATTTTCATTCCCCTTGAAATTCTCCAGTAAGTACCATCAGAATGAAAATGAAAATCACTCTCTGGGGGAAATGGCTTTCAGTCCTCATCAGTAAAGCGTGTGAAGAGCCCTCCACAGAGATGCAGGAGGAAGGCTGCTTGTTGGGAAAGGATCTGTCAGCAAAACCTGCAGAACTAGTTGTAGGGGTCACACCTTGGGATTTGGGAGCCTTTGGACTGACTTCAAGAAGGCCTTAATCAATCCCAGGTCAGGGTGGTCCCGGGGCAGAATTCAGGGACAAGGCAGGTTCAAGGAAGTAATGCCTTGGGGGTACGTTTTACTTAGTGGGCTGTAAGGGGGAAACTTTATCATGAATATATTAGCTGATTCCCTCAGGGAATCGCTGGAATTAAGCCAGGCCTCTGTGAGTAAACCATTGGACCTAATCCCGCGTTACATTTGTGTAATGCCTGACAAAGCCTGCTCCCATTATCTTATTTGATCCTGAAAGCAATCCTCAGAGGGAGGCAGGGCTGGGATTATTTTTTCCATTTTACATGTGTTTTCGCTTGTAAACTGATTTGCCAGGAGCCACACCACCCATACGTGGCAGGAATGAGACTTGAATCTCTTTAGGTCTTGGTACAACCTGTTCAAGGTTTTTCTTGACTTCACACACAGACTGATCATAATATTCCCAGCCCCACCCAGTCCTTACAACCTTTGGCTTAACCAGCAGCTGGGAGCTGCTCAGGGCAGAGCTTGTGTTTACAGTGCCCAAACACCTCTGTCCTGAAGAACTACAGCCCTGCCTGACAAGCTCTGTGGTGGGAAAAAAATCGTATCATCTCCCTGCACCAGTGACCAAAATGAATCCAGATGGATTTGAAAAAAATCAAGGCACTAGAAAAATCTCAGGAAAATAGAACGTAATATTTAATAACTTTCTGGAGGCAAGAAGACTACATCTAGCATTGTGTTAGAAGTTTCAAAGGAAGGTACTTTATGTAGATTTGACTATATTAAAGTTTAAGTTTTAGTAAAAAAAAAAACTCCACAGGGCCAACAAAAACCGAAGAAATAGTCACAGCAAAATATGAAAGAAAAGAGTTAACTTCTGGCATGTAGAGGAGTCACGCAAACACAAAAGAAAAAATCAAAAGGAAAAACTTATTAGAGAACTATTCACAAAAAAAGAAGGTACAGTTGGTTAACAAACATTTAGAAAACTACTCTACCTAACTAAAGGCAAAGAAATAAATACTGAAATGAGATCCATTTCACCTACAAAATCAGAACAATAACTATAATACTCAAGTGTTAATATTAGTGAAGGCGCAACGAATAATGTATGCTTACACATGAATGATGAGAGAGTAAATTTACCCAACTGTTGGAAAGCCATTTGGTACATTTATCAGAAACCTTAAAATATCCATATCCTTTGACCTGAATTTCCATTCCTGGGAGTATGTTCGTAGGAAAGAATCAACACGGAAAAAGTTTTACACACAAAAATGTTAGTCACGCACTTATTTACAGCGGTGAAATTAGGTAAACTGCAAACGTTACAGGAATTATTTAGTAAATTATGGTACAGCCACTTAATGGAAACTTGCGTAATCATTACATGTTCTCAGGGCGCATGCAATAACACGAACACCGTTTACGGGATAATGCTAGTGGGAAAGTGTATAACGTTGTATACGAGTGGCTGTTTGTATAACACTTTTATAGAAAAAGGCTGGAAAAGAAAAACTTTTAATATGTGAACCATGTTTGAATCCTATGATTAGAGAGTTCTTTTTCATCGCCCTATATTTCTATTTAAATCTTTTTTTATTGGCCGCGCGGCTTTTTTTTTTTTTTTTTTTTTTTTTAATGAACAAAGTCAGCTCTTCTTTAGCCAGGCGGTGGCGCGTCTTTCTCTCGCGCTGGGCCGTAGCGCTTGAGGACTAGGCGGAGGGAGCAGGCTCCTAGACTCCACCTCAGGGCGATTCCGCCCTCCATTGCGAAGTCCTCCTCCCCGCCCCCAATTTCCCCAGCCCCACCCCTCCCAAGCCAGCTGGTCGCAGGGCCCGCCCCTCCCCCACCACTCCCGGGCCCCGCTGACTGCGGGTGCGCGGGAGGGGGAGCAGGGCCGCCCAAGTCTTGCTGACACGTGGGGAGGGAGGAAGCGTCGGAGGATGAGTGGTTGGGTGTGTGGGTGGGTGTGTCAGTTAGTGGGAGAATCCAATCGAGGCCACCTCAGAGTCTCCATAGTCCTGTGCTGCTAATCCGGCCGGGGAAGTACGAAGCTCTCCCCATGCCCCAGATCCCCTCCTAAGCAAACACACAGCGCAGACACAAGAAGGTTCCGGCCGCGGCCCTGCGCTGCCCGTGAAGGCCCGCGCTGCGCCACCTCCTCGCTTGTCCCCCCCGCCCCGGCGCGGTGGTAGGGGCCGGCGGCGACGTCACCCATTGTTTACAAATCAACCCGAGCCGGTAGGATTCCGGCTCCCGCGGCTGCTGGCGCGCGGCGAGAGTGCCTGGCGGGCTCCGGCTTCCGCGTCCGCCCCGGCTCCGGCTTCGGCCTCAGCACCACGCCCGGCTCCGCCGCGGCCCACCGAGCCCCGGGGGCAGCCGAGCCGCCGGCGACTCCCGCAGAGCTCCGGGTGCCCGCGCGGGGGGCCATGCCGTGCCGGAGGGAGGAGGAAGAGGAAGCCGGCGAGGAAGAGGAGGAGGAGGAGGAGGACAGCTTCCTCCTACTGGAACAGTCGGTGACTCTGGGCGGCTCGGGCGAGGTGGACCGGCTGGTGGCCCAGATCGGCGAGACGCTGCAGCTGGACGCGGCGCGGGACCGCCCTGCCTCCCCGTGCGCGCCCCCGGGGCCGCCACTGCAGCCCCCGCGACCCCCGGCGGTGGTGCGGGCGGACAAGGCCCGAGCCCCGGCTCTGCCGTTGCTTCTGCCGCCCGCGTCGGCCGAGACTGGGGGTCCGGCTCCCCCGGGGGCCCTGCGCTGCGCCCTCGGGGACCGCGGCCGGGTGCGGGGCCGGGCTGCGCCCTACTTTGTGGCCGAGCTCGCCGCAAGCCCCAGCGCGCTGCCCGGGCCGTGCCGGCGAGGATGGCTGCGGGGCGCTGTCGCCTCCCGCCGCCTGCAACAGCGACGATGGCCCCCAGCCGGGGCGCGCGCCAACGACGACGACCCGCACAGGCTCCTGCAGCAGCTGGTGCTCTCGGGGAACCTCATCAAGGAGGCCGTGCGGAGGCTCCAGCGAGCCGTCGCCGCGGTGGCAGCCACGGGCCCCGCGGCACCCCCCGGACCCGGGGGCAGCCGCAGCCGACCGGACCCTGTCGCCCTTCAGCCCTCCGGCGCCTTGCACTGACCCAGGGCCCCTGGAGGAGGAAGAAGCCGCTGCGGGGACCCAACGGCGTCCTGTGCCTTCCCCAACCTTGAGCTGAAGCCGCCGTTGCCGTCCTGGGAGCGACCGCCTAGGCTGCAAGGAGGCGCGTGGGGAGAGACCTCAAGCCGAGAAGTTACCCGCCCCGGCGAGGCTGTCGGCGAAAACTTGAGCGTGGAGAAATGCACGGGCCAGGGCGCGTCCGTGTCGCGTGAGAATTTCCCCGGCCACCTCGGGGACAGGAACCTGGGATAAAACTGGGAGAACTATGGCAGCTATTTGCATCAACTTGTATCTGACTTAACCCTTGGGGGTGTCGTGTGCTTGGATTGTTTAAAGATACGGCTCCAAGGGGCGAGAATCGCGAGGGCTTTGTAAGAATACTTGAAAACTGATGACACGAATACATTTTATTTTCCGGTGGAGGAACTTAGTGAAAATGGTGCTACAATTGCTGTGCAAAGAAATTCCAGAGGGAAGAAGAATGTAAAAGCTTGGTGGTGGGTGGGTTGGCATCGCCTGCCCCCTTTCTCCCACCACATCGGTGACTCGTCGAGGTGGGAGATGTGAGCTCCAGTTGTCGGGGGTAGGGAGGTGGAGAATTTTGAAGGTGGGTCGAGGTGGATGTGGACTTTTAAATGACTTGACCTTGCCACCTGTGTTTCAAGGTCACGGTGTGCTTGGACGGAAGGTTGTGGGCTTCCTGGGAGAGCTAACTGTCCGCTCTTTTTTCTCTTGCTCCAAGAAGAGCCCTGTCTGTGCTTCGCCACCTCCTAGCGTCTCCAGAGGACACACAGGTGGAGAGGGCTGTGCGAGGAGTTATTTTTTTTTCTCTTGTGCTCTCCCTCTGTCCAGAGCTCCTCCTCCTCCCGTGAGGCCACTCTTGGCCGTGCCATGAGCTTTCTCAGAAACAGGCATAAACAATGTCTTATGTCTCTCCTGTCCTCCCGGCTGGCCTTTCTTATTCCACCCTTTCTGATGTCTTCACTGGATGGATGAGACCCCGGCTGTTTTTCTGCTCTGTTCTGGCCCTGTTTTCTGCTCTGTTCTGGCCCTCTGTGGAGCCATAGGCCTGAGCTTTCGTGGGTCTTCACTTCTCAGTTTCCTTCTTCCACCAGCTCTTCGTGAGTGACCGAAACCGTTTTTTAAATGGGACTCTCCAAGAGGAGAAACCGCAGGCTTTACCCGTATGAAACTTGACGGTGCTTTAAGTAAGGTGCCACCCCCAAACTGTAAAGGAGCTAAACTAATTTTTTAAAGATTCAATGGCTTGTTCATCCTCCAGATGTAGCTATTGACGTACACTTCGCACCGGAGTGTCTGAAATTGTGGTGGTCCTGATTTATAGGATTTCTTAATTAAAGTGTCTACTGAATAAATTTGGTTTTTGTTTTGGAGCATGCTTTGGCTTTTTGGTGGAAGGTGGGGGAAAGAAAAGCACAGAGGGGACACCTTTCATAATGAAGTCGTGATGGAGAGGGGACTTTGGGGTCGAGGTGTGAGATGGAGACCGGTGGAGCTGCAGTCGATGAGTGCTTCTGGGTCGATGTTCCACAAGATCAGAAAATTCAGTCCAGGTTTTTAAAAACATGCTAGGTGGGCTTTCACGCCCTTTGTGGAATAAGAACATAGTCCAGAAACTTTCTAGGCTGGAGGACAGAGGCCAAGCGATTTGCTGTATCTGGAGGAGGGTGGAGGGAGGTGAATTTTCTGATTTTTTTGTGTTTGAAGAATGGTGAGGGTATAGACAGAGCCTTCCTATTTTCTCCTTTGAGACTGACCCAGTCTTGAGCTGTGGCCTAGGGAAAGGACAATAGGGTTTTATAGCAGTGTATTTGGTAGTTGTAAAATGGGGTGTTTTGAGCAGATGGGGGTTTACTTAATTAAGTGGCCCTCCTGGTTCTGCCCTCAGTCTTATCTTCCCCAGGCTTGGGGCCCTTTCCCACAAGGAAGCCTTTCTTGGTACAGCCCAGCTCTGCTAACCAGCCCCAGGGGCACCTGTCCCGCCCAGCACCTTCTCACATGGGCTGCAGGGGAATGCTAATGCTCAGTGACTCAGTTTGACTCAGCCCCGCTGCTCAGCAGCTGTGTCATAGTAGGCAAGTCACAGCTCTGTGCATTTTCCTCCTCTCATGTATAAAACAATAATACCTAATAGGTTGGTTGGGAGGGTAAAACAAGGACCTGAGGTGTCTGGGACACTTCAGGGCTTAAAAAGTGACAGCTGCTGATTCTTGCTGCCACCACTGGCCCTTCTTCCTTCAGTGGCCCCCATCTGTCTCTTCAGCGTGCCCCACGTGCCCTAACACTTCAGCCGCCCTTTCCTTTCCACTGTGAGCACACGTCACTGCCACCTCTGTTGCTTCTGTATCATATAAGTCCCTTTTCCTGAACTTCCAGAAGGCCACCTCCACACACCTTCCAGATGATCTGTCTCTGCTGTCATCATTCCGGGGGTTGGCACTTGACACACGTGCCAGGTACTGTTCTGGGTGTTTTAAATCATTATCTCATTATGTCATGGCTTTATTCGTCATGAGGTAGGTACTATTTTCTCCATTTCATAAATGAGGACACCGAGGCCCAGGAGATTAAGTGATTTGCCTGAAGTCACCACCTTTTAAGTTAAGGAGCTGGGATTTGAACCCAGGCAGTGTGGCTCTAGTTTCTCCTGCTTTCCTCAACCAGAGCTTCCAGTCATGCTGTACCACTTCCATGAGACTTTCTTGACACCATTTTCTCCCATGTTGGATTTATTAAAGTTCTTAAGAGCATCCCACAAAAACCTTGACCCAATAAATGCCTCAACACAATAGCATCACCATTTTCAAACTTTTCTTGCAGGCCAGCCACATATGTGCAAGGTGCTGGGGATCCGGGATGAGGCAGGGTTTCAGACATCCTAGAAGAACCCACAAGCAGGTTTGGGGCCGAGACCTTCACATAAGGTAATAGGAATTGCATAAGAGAGGCACAGATAACAAATGGTAGACGGCTGCTTTTTTTAGAACCTCAAGTCTGTAAGATGAGGGCATAGGGCCAAGATGGTGAGGTCTCACCCAATGCAGCTGTCTTCTGGGTCTGCAACGTGGCCAGGACAGCACTCAGGAATGAAATTAGAGTGGTGACTGTAGACTGACAGGACCTGAAGATCTTCAGGAGCTGAGAAGCGAGGTGGAGAGAGGGAGAAAGGGGACTGAGCCCTGTTTGGGCAGGAGCCCTGGTAGGCACCTTTTTGTTTTGTTTTTTTTGCAGTACGCGGGCCTCTCACTGTTGTGGCCACTCCCATTGTGGAGCACAGGCTCTGGACGCGCAGGCTCAGCGTCCATGGCTCACGGGCCCAGCTACTCCGCGGCACGTGGGATCTTCCCGGACCGGGGCACGAACCCGTGTCCCCTGCATCGGCAGGCGGTCTCTCAACCACTGCGCAACCAGGGGAGCCCTGGTAGGCACCTTTTACAAGATGGCCCTTCACTCTTTACAATGGGGAGGGGTAGGAATTGTGGGTGGTTGAACAGGATCTGAACTCATGGCTCTTAAGCTGAACCTCTTACCTCCTGTCTGAGCCTACCCACACATTTCCTCATGAACCTCAGCCCCAGCTACCGATCAGCCGTTTGCAAAGGCTGTAGAGAGCAGAGTCCTGGGCCTGGGGAAGTGTCTGTGCAAAGGAGGCATTGGCCATTTCCAAGTTGTTGCGGCTTGGGATAGCCCATTCCTAGTACTTGGCCCAGGGATGATTGTGGCTGGGATATCCCTAGTCCCTTGGAGTGGATGGGCACAGAACTGAGGACATGGGCATGGGCAGAGTTGAGACAACTCCATCTTCTGAAGGATCCAAGGTCTAGGTTTCCCTGGTAACATTCTGCAAGTCTTGAGTCCAGAAGGACAAGAGTAATAGGGAAGTTGCAAGAAGCTGGTTGTGTGAGTGTGTGTGGTCGGGGAGGGGCTTGATTAGGAGTTTCATGTGGGAAGTTACAGGGACCGCAGCCTGGTGCCTCCTAAGTGATTAGGAGTTGGAAGAGAGATCAGGGCTGAAGATAAAGACTTGGCAGTTAGGGCTAAGAGGGGTGGACGGAGCCTGGGAGATGCCGTCAGTTGGGAAGGAAAAACACTAGCCAGTGTACGTAGCACTTACCATGTGCCAGGCTCTGTGCTAAGCACTTTACAAAGACCAATAGTAGAACCCAGAGAGGCCAAGGGAGGCTGAAGGGTGAACTGTAAGGGATGGTTGGGTATGTGTGTCTACATACATGCACAGGTGCACACACACGAACGCAGAGCTATAGCTATGTGATCACTATGTATACCCTCTGTGGTCAGGTCCAGGGTGTATGGAATCAGAGCTTGCTCAGTGACCTTCACTGTCTTTCTTTAATCCTGAAGTTATTCAGCTTCACTTTATCAGCACCGTTAAGCAGTGTGTTTCGAACATCTGCACTGTGAGTTCTTGCTCTGCTTAACCCAGCTGAAGAGAAGAACTATTTATGGTGCATTTGGAGAAAGGTGATTATTACTCCAGTGTCTGGGGAGGATTTTCAGGAAAACCTAGGAAACCGAATCTAATTTAGACAGTAAAAAAAGAAACAAAAGGCAGGGCAAAGGTAACAAGATGATAACCAGCTTGTGATTCTTTTTTAACCCACCCAAATCAATAAGTCAAACAAACTCCCTGAACAGCCTATCAATTGGGGGTGGTGAATTTTACCTCCTGTGAGTCAGTTAATTGATAAAGTGGAGCAGTTAATAAACCCCTTGGTATCAGATTTAGATTTCATTCTATTGTAGCATAAGGTACAGAGAAGGATTCCTTCACATGAAAACATACCCAGCCATCTCCGGCGTGAAGGGTTATACAAGGTTGTTTCAACAGCTAACTGGTCCCTGGCATGCCGGTGGTAGGACAGTTTGTGACTTAGAGTGCTGTCACAGGGGACATCCACCTCTAAGGTCTCCCTGAGTCCTGCCCTTCAAACCTACCCAGA